GGGTGACGGAGCTTCACTTGTGTGAGTGTTCGCCCGCCCCGTGCCCCACCCGCTGCCTCTAGGGCGGGGCCGCGACGGGCCGAGCGGCCGAGCCATCCGGTGGGAGGGAGCAGCGCTAAATCGGAAGAAAGGCTTTCCCGGAAGGCGGGTGCCGCCCCCCTTCCTCCCTGGGATCCGGACCCGCGGCTCTCGGCACTCCCGGTACCGGTGCTTCTGGCTCAGGACCTGGGGGACGTCTGTCGGGGCAGCGCGTTCCCCAGGGGGAGCGAGGCACGGACAGATCACCGAGCGGTCAGACGGGACGCAGTAGGGGCGGGGGGTCAGGAGCGGTTGCCCCAGGGGTCCCTGGGGCAGAGGGGCAGCCAGTGCCAGGCCCTGAGTGGGAAGCTGCAGCGGGCTCGGCCCGTGGGGGGCAGGCAGCACGGAGGGGGCCGACCTCGCGGACCCGGCAAGGCGTTTGAATTGTATTCGGGGGCCGTGGGAAGCTTCTGGCCACGGACCGGTGGCCCCCAGGGACGGTGCTCCCCGGTGCGCCCCAGGAGGTTCCTGCTGGCCCCTGGGTCAGGGCCCGGCCCCCCTGGAAGGCCGCCCTTCTGTCCTGCCCGTTACCCTCCGTCCTCTTGGAAAGGTCGCCTCCTGGGCCGTGATGCCCATCAGAGGATATGGAGAACTACCGGGACCCAACCACCTGCCGAACCCAGTCCATGTTCCGTCGATTTCCTTCCCAGTCTTTTTTCGAGCGTCTTTTTTTTTTTTTCATGCAGTTTTAAAAACTGAGAGATGTATACTGTTTTGTAACCTTTGCCACTTAATTTGTTGTTAGCAGTTTCCCGCGGCCACACGTTTTCAAGAACATGATGTTATTTATTTTTTAAATAACGATTTATCACTACTTGGTAACTTTATCTGTTCTTTGTAACGACATCTGTGAATCAGCTTCAATCTTGTTTTTTTAAATTCTCACCGGAGGATAGTTATCCATTGATTTCTAGGGAGAGTGGAAGAGAGAGGGAAAGACAGAGAGAAACATCCATGTGAGAGAAACACATTGATCGGTTGCCTCCTGCACGCGCCCCAACCAGGGCCGGGGATGGAGCCTGCAACCGAGGTCCGTGCTGTTGCCCGGAATCGAACCCGGGACCCTTTGGTCCGCAGGCCGACACTATCCACTGAGCCAAAGTGGCCAGGGCTCGGAAACATGACTTTAAGTATCTAACCCAGCCGTGGGCAAACTACGGCCCGCGGGCCGGATCCGGCCTGTTTGAAATGAATAAAACTAAAAAAAAAAAAAAGACCGTACCCTTTTATGTAATGATGTTTACTTTGAATTTATATTAGTTCACACAAACACTCCATCCATGCTTTTGTTCCGGGCCCTCCGGTCCAGTTTAAGAACCCATTGTGGCCCTCGAGTCAAAAAGTTTGCCCACCCCTGATCTAACCTGTGGCTACCCCCGTTTTATTGGCATGTCCCTGCTCACCAGTTGGATTCCTGATGAGGGCACATGCCGGGATTGTGGGCTCCCATCCCCAGTAGGGGGGTGTGCAGGAGGCAGCCGATCAATGATTCTTCTCTCACCATTGATGTTTTCTCGCTCTCCTTCCCTCTCTTCTCTCCGAAATCAATTCTAAAAACCTTAAAAACAAATTCTACTCTTGGATTTGTCCCAACTGTCTATTTTCAAAAATGTTAATAGTGAGAAAATGTCCTGCCCTAGCACAATTGACTTTTCATGAGAGTAAAACAAGACAAAAGAACCCCACAAACTGAACCACAAAATAAAAGGCCACTGCCCACCTGTCCCTGCACAGAGGGGCCGCTGGGGAGCCGCATGGCAGCCACCTGGCCAGCCGGCCCCTCCCGGGACAGGCAGGCGGGCCTCTGTGGACTCCTGGGCTGTGGCTGGGCCTGTGACACTGCCCTTGGAGCGCCTCCCCCGAGAGGTCACAGCCGAGGTCAGGCGGGAGGGCTCTGTCCAGCAGGCAGCGGTTGGAGGGCACAGAAGGAGCAGAAGGTGCAGGGCGAGGGCAGGGAGGCTGGGCCTGTGCAGCCCCTCCTAGTGGGAGGGAGGTGGTCACTTGCCTCTCC